CCTTAAAGAAGGGGAATCCAGGAGCAAGCACAAAGGACTTCCTTGACCTTCAAATAAATAAGGGCCTCTACGGGCCCTGACACGCCGAAGGCCCGAAAAGGGCCGAGGCTACCCCCAACCCCAGCTTAAACCCTAACAGCGCAACTTTAAAAACATCAAAGCAAGCATCAGAGCACAAGAAAGTAAATTCCATAAACCCTAAACCCTAATGGAGTATAGTTTGGGTGGCCGGGGTGGGTTGACGGGCAACGCGAGCGAACGGCCCGGGGTGTTTCACACCCGAGCGAGCGCCCTCCCCTGACACACCCTAAACCCCAAACCCTAAACCCTAAACCCGCCGAGTCAAGTCTGGTTGGTTCGAGGGTGGGAAGAACTCAGCTAAGCTGGAGCCAGCGAGCTCGACTACCCCCAGCCCAAGCCTCCTAAACCTTACACCCTAAACCCGAAACCTGCCCCAAACCCCAAACCCCAAACCCCAAACCCCAAACCCCAAACCCCAAACCCCAAACCCCAAACCCCAAACCCCAAACCCCAAACCCCAAACCCAACCCCAACCCCAACCCCCAGACCCCAGACCCCAGACCCCAGACCCCAGACCCCAGAGCCCAGAGCCCAGACCCCAGACCCCAGACCCCAGACCCCAGACCCCAGACCCCAGACCCCAGACCCCAGACCCCAAACCCCAAACCCCAAACCCCAAACCCCAAACCCTAAACCCTAGGCCCTAAACCCTAAGCCCTAAACCTAAACCCTAAACCTTAAACCTTAAACCCTAACTAGCAAATGAGCCGTAAGGCTCCTGGAGCCATGAATGCAATGGCCAACACCATGCCGGGCATGGGAGGCGGCCAGATAGCTTCGGCCGTTGCGGTTTAGGGTTTAGGGTTTAGGGCTTAGGGCTTTGGGCTTTGGGCTTAGGGCTTAGGGCTTAGGACTTGGGTTTAGGGCCTAGGGCCTAGGGCTTCGGGCGTAGGGCTTGGGGCTCAGGGCTTAGGGCTTCGGGCTCTGGTTTTTCAGGGTTTAGGGCTTCGGAGACTTTACCTCAGAGTCCTGTCCCCAAAGAATGCCCCTGGAGTGCCCTCTTCCCAATTCCGAAAGCCCCAGAAGAGTGCCGCAGAGTATTCCCGGATTGCCCTCTCCCACAGAGGATCCCTCCCCAACGAAATCCAACAAACAATTCCTAAACCCTCCCAACCCTAAGCCCTAAACCCTAAACCCTATACCCTAGACCCTAAACCCTAAACCCTAAACCCTACACCCGCCCCTGAAAAATCCTTGGAGTATCCATCCCCAACAAGTACCCACCCCAAGAGAAGGCCCAACTCCATTCCCAGTATGATTCCTGCAGTGCCGGTTTAGGGTTTAGGGTTTAGGGTTTAGGGTTTAGGGTTTAGGGCTCAGGGCTTAGGGCTTAGGTTTATGAGGTTGCATGGGGTGGGCATGTTCGAAGTGCTTTTGTTCCCTACCGTCGCTGAGGGTCGCTGAGTGCCGCACCCCCGAGAGTGCTACAAGATCTCACAGAGTATCATGCCTTTGCCCTAAACCCTATGCACCCTAAACCCTAAACCCTAAACCCTAAATGCTAGGTTCCTAAGTCTCCTAAGAGTCTCAAACCTGCGAAGTCTGTCAATTTTTTCTTCTTCCTCAAAAGCCTCCTGTAGGCCTTGTTAGCTTTCTAGGCCAGTAAGCAGAGGTGTGCCCTAACCCCCAAAACCCCCAAAAACCCTAAAACCCCTAAAAACCCTAGAAACCCTAAAAACCCTAGAAAAGCCCTAAACACCCTAGAAAACCCTAGAAAAGCCCTAAAAGCCCCAAGAGCCCGTCAAAAACCCTAAACAGGAGATGGTAGCTACGGGCTCTCTGCGGATAGCAAGGCGGCCCCTGGCGAAGTGAAGCCCAACCTTGGGTGTTGGGCTTCGGGTTTGGGGTTTAGGGTTTAGGGTTTTAGGGGTTAAGGGGTTTAGGGGTTTAGGGTTTAGGGTTTAGGGTGTTGGGCTTCGGGCTTGGGAGCACTACAGGGTTTAGGGCCACTCTCTTCAGATGCCATGCTGCAGGCTACAAGCAACCTTAAGGTTTAGGGTTTGGGGCTTAGGGTTGAGGGTTTATGGCTTAGGGGGGTTTAGGGTTTAGGGCATAGGGTGTAGGGCTTAGGCTTTACTCGGGCTCAGGCTTAAGGGCTTGCAGTATTGGAAGGGCTTGCCCGCAAGCTCGTAGCTGTAACCTATAAGCCTATAGGCCCGGCAAAGCATCCGAGAAGCTGAGCCCCTGCAAGGTCGGCGGTTTGCGAGGGAAAGCTGAGATCTACCATAGGATGTGAGGGGCACACAGATTAGGGTCTCCTGCTGGGTTTAGGGGCCGGGATCTTTGGCTGACATGCGAGATGGGTTTTGAAAGCGCAGCCCCCCCCCTTTTCGTCAACTCCTTGACGAAGCCATAAGCCATACCCTAAACTTCAAGGGGTTTAGGGTCATCAAGGCTACCGACTGTGGGAGCCCAACCTAGAACTAGCCACCGAAACCCTTAGCCGTATGCCATCTCCCCATCTTTCTTAAGGTTGTGTAAAGCCCCAAACCCCAAACCCCAAACCCTAAACCCTAAACCCTAAACCCGAAACCCTACACCCTAAGCAGATAGACCCCAGCAACTTGAATCTCTCCGCCGTCCGCACCTTTTTGGCGCCATGGCCGCTTCACCGCCCCGGTCTCAGCCTTCCGGCGGACTGGCAGCATCTGTGGAGTAGGGTTTTGGCCCTCTAGACCCCTAAACCATAAACCCTAAACCCTAAACCCTAAACCCTAAACCCTAAACATCCCCGAAACTCTAAGCCCTCAGACCCCTTCATTTTAACGCTACGCGACCCGCCTCGGTCCGGCCCAGCGCATCCGCGTGAGCATGGTGATTCCGCAGCGCCCAAGTCGCTAGACCCCAAGCAATAGGGGTGGGTTTGGGGTTTAGGGTTCCGGGTTTATGGTTTATGGTTTTGGGTTTAGGGTTGAGGGTTAGTTTAGGGTTGAAGGCTTAGGGCTCAAGGTTCACGGTGGTTTTTTTGGGTTTAGGGTTCAAGGTTCAAGGTTGAGGGTTGAGACGGTTCGGCTTGGACTGATCCTAAAGTCGAGCCATGCCCCAAAAGTAGGGGGGGTAGGGGGGGGGGGGGGAAGGGGCAGTTGGGGGGGGACCGTCTGCTTGCGGACCCCGGTTTCCTAGGCGGGGTACCCATTTGAGGCAAAAAAAGGGGTCCGAAAAAGGGCTTGGGGTGTGGAGGATTTGGAGGGGGGTGCCTGTTCTCACAACCTATACACCTTCGGCCCGAGGCCTCGGCGGATTCTTCAAAGCCTTTGCAGCAATTTAGCCCTGTTTCGCCGCTCGGGCCACTTAAGCCCTGAGCAATTAAACAAACGGTTTAGGGTTTAGGGTTTCGGGTTTCGGGTTTAGGGTTTGAGGGTCTACACCCTGGAACCCTAAACTGGTTCCCAAACCCAAAACCCCAAACCTTAATCCCCGAACCGGAAGCCCGAAGCCCTGAGCCCTGAACCCTGAACCCTGAACCCTAACCCTACACCCTACACGCTACACCCTACACCCTACCCCGTACAGCCTACACCCTACACCTAAACCTTAAACCCTGAAGGCTAAACCCTAAACACCTACACCCTAAACCCTAAACCCTAAACCCTAAACCCTAAACCCTAAACCCTAAACCCTAAACCCTAAACCCTAAACCCTAAACCCTAAACCCTCTTCAGGCCCATGTTGGCCATGGCAACGGACTGCGGCACCATCAACCTTCGGCTCAGGCAGAGCCGAGGATCTTGAAATGCGGTCCCTGATACAAGCCTTGTTAGGGTTTAGAGTTTAGGGTTTGGGGTTTAGGGTTTAGCGTTTAAGGTTTAGGGTTTAGGGGTTATGGTCGACACCCGGAACCACTTCTTCAATGAGCCGAGGCCGAACGCCCCCTGCACGCCAAACCCTGAACCCGCCATCTTGATCCAATCTTGTCTGTAGCTTCTCTGCCCCTTTCGAGGTCGGACTGTCGGAGAAGTGCAGCACATGAGCTTAGAGTACGTAAGGGGGTTCAAGGGGCAGTTTTTTAACCCAAGGTTCCCCAACACTCCCCATCTACTCCCTAACCTAAGCTTCCCTAAGGTTCCCTACATACCTACCCTTCATGAACCCCTCCTCCCTCTAAGGGTATGGTCCCTTCCAAGGGGGCCCCTTACATACTCCTTACATATGCTGTAGAAACCAAGAGACCATGCTTCAGAACCCCTTCGAGGAGGTTAGGGACCGCATCCATGTAACTACCCTTAGACTCGCTTGAGGACCCTACAATTCTACAATGAACTCCAGCCGCAAGCCCGAAGTCATAGCGCTCATAGGTTTTGGGTATTGGATCAAGGGATTAACGGAGGACTCTTATAAGGAACCTTAAGTTTGTTTAGGGATATTTAGGGCCAACTTGGGTATATAGGGCCTTTCTCAGGTACACACATATATATATATATAGGTAGGGGTTTTTCGGGGAATAAGATAAAGGGCCCCTTCTACGGGTCCCTCCTTATACCCCTCAATAGGGTTATCGGTTTTGCAACAGCTAGGTCGAACCCTACCGGAGTTCGGACTCTACCCTGACATGAAAGGTTGGTAGCCTACTAGCTCAATTAGGGTGCAGGGTTCAGGGTTTAGGGTTCAGGGTTCAGGGTCTAGGGTTACAGGTGAACCACAAACACCCTCTACACCCTGAGCCACAAACCCCGACATCTTGCCGCCGTCTGTCGCCATGTCACCGCCTCTGGCTTCAGGAGAACCCCAAGGGTTCAACTTCCCAAGCAAGGGACACACCAGTGATGGGCTTCAGGGATAAGACTGGATCTGGCTACTTGCAACTCCGTTTTTTTGAGGTGGAAAGGAAGATGGACGGAGCACCATGAAGTAGACTATAGACCCCGCCGAAGGGGGCTCGCGTTGTGAGACAGTCGCATGATGCTCCTGCCTTGCTTGTCATGATCGATGACCCTGCCCCGTGCTCAGCTGTTTGCAGCAGGGGGAATGCGAAGCTTCCTGAAACCTATTTTAGCCCCGAACATCAATCTCGCAGTGACATTGAATTCTCGTTTGGCCCTAAACCACAAAGACTGAACCCTATACCCTGAACCCTGATCCCTAAACCCTAAACCCTGCAATGCTTGTGGCCCTTCGGCTTCTGGTTGAAGGGTTAAGGTGTTAGGGTTTAGGGTTGAGGTCTTGTTGAGATATTTTCCTGAATGGTCTCCGCGCTTTTGGGGTTTAAGGTTTTTGGGGTTTGGGGTTTAGGGTTTAGTAGCCGGAATGGACGACCATCATTGCTGAAGAAGCCTCTCAGCATCCCGCCCGAAGTTCCGAAACCACGTGGGGCTCCAGAGGGATGGTTCTCTTTTGTGCTCGAGGATCACCTGTAGGGTTTAGGGTCTAGGGTTTAGGGTTTAGGGTTTAGGGTTTGGGGTTTAGGTTTTAGGCTTTAGGCTTTAGGGTTTAGGGTTTGGGTTTAGGGTACTTCTGGAGGGACAGTCGCCTGGCAAACTGATCGTGCGAGGGAGCCTGGGATCACGATTGCATTCCTACCGGCAGGTTCATGGGTAGTTCTAAGTAGGGTGATAAGCAGGGTAACTATAATCAGAACCTTTTTTGAGGTTCTTCTAACCGCACTCGTGAGACTTTGTGCCCCAATGGCGGTCCCAGGCGCAGCGTGTTGCGATCGCGATCGTCGCTCCGATTTGTCCGCTGATCCCGGCCGTGATTCTTCTCATCATCGCAGCCGGGTGCTCACGATGTAGGGTTTAGGGTTAGGTTCACGGTTTAGGATTTAGGGTTTAGGGGTTTAGGGGTTTAGGGGTTTAGAGTTTAGGGTTTAGGGTTTAGGGCGGTCCCAGGAGTTTCAGGCTCCACTCCTTCTAGGATCTACTCGCATGTCGCTTTCTGAAGGGGTATGTGGTACACGGTTTAAGGTTCAGGGTTTAGGGTTTAGGGTTTAGGGTTTAGGGTTTAGGGTTTAGGGTTTAGGGTTTAGGGTTTAGGGTTTAGGGTTTAGGGTTTAGGGTACCCTTGTCATGTTCAGAACCAGTGAACTGGCTAGTTCTTAGTAGGGAATGAGGGAATGTGGGCCAAGATATACCCTTTAAGGGATTATACTGGGCCATTCCCTCATGTCCTACTACGAACCAGGGGGCAAAGGGCTCCTTTCTTGAACCCTCAACCCTGAACCCTCAACCCTAAACCCTAAACCCTAAACCCTAGACCTTAACCCTAAACTCTGCCCCGAACCCGAAATCGTGAGCCAAAAAAGAGGTCCTGCAGCCCTGGTGGGTGTCCTCGCGGGATGTCCCCGCCTTAGCTGACATGCTTGGAAGGTTGACCCCTTCATCAAGATCGAGGGCTTTAGTGTGGGGCTTAATTTTTAAGGCTTCGGGACTCTGCTAAGTTCAAGACCTCTTAAGACATGCTCTGATTTTTTCGCACGCTTGACCGCACGTGAATAGTGACTCAAGGCTCAGGAGGTATGGAGCTTTAGCTTCCTTGGAAGATTTCAGATTAGGGTTAAGGGTTTCGGGTTAAGGGCTGTGTGGTTCGGCCATGTGCCTGCGTGGGCCTAGCCTCGCAATGCCAGGTCAGAAGCCGGAAACAGCTCCTCAGCCCCAAAACTTTCTAGCTACACTCCCCATGCTCGAACATGACCCTAAGCCCTAAACCATCAACCCTAAACCCTAAACCCTAAACCATCAACCAAACCATCAACCCTAAACCCTACTATACATGTTTTTGAGGGTTAGCAGCCCTATAGCTTGTGTGCCTGCCCGGAAGACTGGGACCGAGATCACCTACTACCCGACCAACACGAGCTCCTTCACCGTCACGCTCCTGGGCTTGTTTCAGCCGACTAGTTATCCACCCCGAAAGGGGGAACACCAGAAAAACATACGCACGCACACACACACACATAAAAACAAATTGACATATGTATACAGAAAACGTCACACACACATATACATATATAAATACGTATATATATATATATATATCCACACACTCTTTTTTTCATTCATGTATGCATAAGCATGTAGCACAAAACAGCAATCAACTCATGACCTCCAAGAGCCCTGTCAGGCAGAGATCCGAGATCTCGCTGTGGGGGCACCATGGATGTAAGCTCAATGAAACATGGCCGGGCCCTCATGGGTTTAGGGTTTAGGGTTTGGGGTTTGGGGTTTGGGGTTTAGGGTTTGGGGTTTAGGGTATAGGGTTTAGGGTGCTTTTCATGGGGGTCTCACTTTCTTGGGGTCTAACGAAGCTTTGAGAAATGTGATCATATTCCTCATACACTACTCTAATCTGAGGGAACACTCCCAGGATCACCGAGTGTGATCATGATCGCGGTCATGAGTTTACCCTTCCCAGAAAGCCCTAAGCCAGAAATGGCTGAATCCTGAACCTGAACCAAGCCCCCCAAATCCCGACCCCCCCTCTAACCCTAAACCGTAAACCCTAGACCTAAACCCCAAGCCCTAAGCCCTAAACCCTAAACCCTAGACCCTAGACCCTAAACCCTAAACCCTAAACCCTAAACCCTAAACCCTAAACCCCCCTTCTCAGGTCGGACATCTGTGGGCTGCCTGATGCGGAGTGCGTCTACCCACCCGCGCCACCTTTGGGCTATATCCCGCCGGGGGACCCTGTGCTAGGCCTTTTTGGGGCCTTGGAGTTCTATACTTTAATGCTCTTGTTTGGTTCTGGTTTCCCAGTATAGCTACTTATCATACCGAAAAAGTGTATATTTTTTTTTCCCAGGGTCTACTCCAGAAATAGGCTTTGGTGCCTACTTGAAGGTTCATAGGCACTTCTAAGTAGGGTTATAGGTACCCTAAATAAGATTTCTACTTGAAGGTTCATAGGGACTTCGAAGTAGGGTTATAGGTACTTGTACCCTAAAGAAGAGTTCAACCCTACTTATAATCATACGTGCCCAGGTGTAGGGCTTAGCGGGGTCTTCGTCGCTTGGGCTTACTGACCGCGTTGTTCTCCATGACGCGGCTCCTACTTTAGAATACCCCCTAAGGGTTCAGGGTTTAGGGTTTAGGCCCCCCCCCCCCCCTTGCCTCATGCCAGGTGCCGATGTGTAGATGTTCGGTGAGCCCGTAAAATGGAAAGCCGCCAAGAAATGGCCGCTGATCCAGAAACTATAAACCCTCTTTGTTGTTTGGGAGGGGAGGGGGGAGGACGCGGAGGCAGTATAGGCTTTAGGGTTTAGGGAAAGCGCTAAAAAACCCTTAACCGCAACTTAAACCCTTAACCGTAAGCCCGAAACCCCGCACTTTAAACCCCTAAAGCCCTAAACCCCTAAACTGCTAAACCTCACACCCGAAGACTCTCATATATCTCCCGCAGTATCGAGCCTCACCCCAAGTATCAAGTACAGTGTCAAGAGGAGTGTTCAGTGGGGGGGGGGGGGGTCGGGTTTTTGAGGGTTTTGGGGTTGTGGAGTTTGGGGGGTCTTGGGGTTTTAGGGCTTTGGGGTTTTATGGGCATCCTTCACACTGCTTAGCTGCTGGCCAGCGTTTCTGGGAGGCCCTGGACGCCTCCTCCCCTCACGGAGGATGACAACTGGCGCGTTGAGGCGGCTGTGGGGTTTAGGGTTTCAAGGATTTCGAGGTTTAAGCCGGGTTACCCCGCCGCCTCCCTCCTCATTGCTTTATGAATAAAGAATGTAGTCCGGCCGTTGAGACCATAGTTATGATTCTACAACAAATTTGAGATTTGTAGGTGAGGTGTTTTTGGTTTTGGGTGTTTAGGAAGCTTGGGGCTGATGGATTTTCGGGTTTAGGGATTTTTGCTCTAGAATCGGGTAGGGTTTTAGGTAGTAGTACTTCTACTTGAAATTCTTCCAGAAATAAGAGCTTTGCTAGAAACCATACACCCTACACTAAGCATCTTGCATTCTTAAACAAACAGGGCGCCCTTTTCTTTAGGGTTTAGTCTCCTTTGTAAACCCCGTTGAACTCTAAGCCCTAAACTCTAAGCCCCCCTAGACCCCAAACCCCAAACCCCAAACCCCAAACCCCAAACCCCAAACCCCAAACCCCAAACCCCAAACCCCAAACCCCAAGCCCCAAACCCCAAACCCCCAAACCCATAAGTAAGCGGAGGAAAAGGAACTAAACAGGATTCCCTCAGTAATGGCGAACGAACAGGGATCAGCTTTGGTTGGAAACCGGGGCTTCTGCCTTGGATTGTGGCCTTTAGACATACTACCAACGGCGGCGCGAGCGTAAGCCTCTTGGAACAGAGCGTCTACGTGGGTGAGAATCCTGTGTTTCGCTTGATGCCCGCCGTGCACGGTACTTGCTCTCAGAGTCACGCTCCTCGGAATTGGAGCGTAAATTGGGTGGTAAATTTCATCTAAAGCTAAATAAACCCTAAACCCTAAACCCCAAAGCCTAAACCCTAACCCCCCCCCCCCCCCCCCAAACCGAAGTCAGAGTCCATGCCAGGTGGTCACGGGGCCTCCAGGTGTGAGGATGACGACCACTCGGCAGGACGGCGGTGCACTTCCGGTCCGGAGTTTTGGGGATTAGGGCTTCCCTCTTTGTGCGGTGTAGGTTTGGAGTAGAGTTCAGGTTCATGCTCAAGGTTCGAGAACATGCATAGAAATCTTAGAATATTTTAGAAGTGGTAGCAGGAGCATCGTGGGTATCATGGGTGAGGAGCATCCGGGCCGGGTCACTTCTCATCTGGGAGCATGAGGGGCATTGGGACTTCCACCTCAAGTGCTGCAAGTGCCAACAGCAGGAACATCATGAGCAGAGCATGTTGAGTGTTGTGACCTCGGCCACACCACCCCAGGGCCACGGAAGTGTCACATCATGAGCAACATGCGTTGTTTTTCAAAACAGGAGCGGGAGGGCATTGGCACTCTTGTCACAGGACGCCCAAAGCCTTCGCAAGTGCCAACAGCAGGAACATCATGAGCATCATCGCCTCGTCGTTTCTCATCTGAGGCACCCCGAAGGCCAAAAGGAGGAGCATGTTGGGCATTGGGACCTCGGCCACACCACCCCGGGGCCACCGGAAGTGTCACATCATGAGCAACATGCTTTTGTTGTTTTTCAAAAACAGGAGCGGGAGGGCATTGGCACTCTTGTCACAGGACGCCCAAAGCCTTCGCAAGTGCCAACAGCAGGAACATCATGCATCATCGCCTTGTCGTTTCTCATCTGAGGCACCCCGAAGGCCAAAAGGAGGAGCATGTTGGGCATTGGGACCTCGGCCACACCACCCCAGGGCCACCGGAAGTGTCACATCATGAGCAACATGCTTTTGTCGTTTTTCAAAAACAGGAGCGGGAGGGCATTGGCACTCTTGTCACAGGACGCCCAGAGCCTTCGCAAGTGCCAACAGCAGGAACATCATGAGCATCATCGCCTTGTCGTTTCTCATCTGAGGCACCCCGAAGGCCAAAAGGAGGAGCATGTTGGGCATTGGGACCTCGGCCACACCACCCCAAACCACCGGAAGTGTCACATCATGAGCAACATGCTTTTGTCGTTTTTCAAAAACAGGAGCGGGAGGGCATTGGCACTCTTGTCACAGGACGCCCAGAGCCTTCGCAAGTGCCAACAGCAGGAACATCATGAGCATCATCGCCTTGTCGTTTCTCATCTGAGGCACCCCGAAGGCCAAAAGGAGGAGCATGTTGGGCATTGGGACCTCGGCCACACCACCCCAGGGCCACCGGAAGTGTCACATCATGAGCAACATGCTTTTGTTGTTTTTCAAAAACAGGAGCGGGAGGGCATTGGCACTCTTGTCACAGGACGCCCAGAGCCTTCGCAAGTGCCAACAGCAGGAACATCATGAGCATCATCGCCTCGTCGTTTCTCATCTGAGGCACCCCGAAGGCCAAAAGGAGGAGCATGTTGGGCATTGGGACCTCGGCCACACCACCCCAGGGCCACCGGAAGTGTCACATCATGAGCAACATGCTTTTGTTGTTTTTCAAAAACAGGAGCGGGAGGGCATTGGCACTCTTGTCACAGGACGCCCAGAGCCTTCGCAAGTGCCAACAGCAACATCATGAGCATCATCGCCTTGTCGTTTCTCATCTGAGGCACCCCGAAGGCCAAAAGGAGGAGCATGTTAGGCATTGGGACCTCGGCCACACCACCCCAGGGCCACCGGAAGTGTCACATCATGAGCAACATGCATTTGTTGTTTCTCAAAAACAGGAGCGGGAGGGCATTGGCACTCTTGTCACAGGACTCCCAGAGCCTTCGCAAGTGCCAACAGCAGGAACATCATGAGCATCATCGCCTCGTCGTTTCTCATCTGAGGCACCCCTAAGGCCAAAAGGAGGAGCATGTTGGGCATTGGGACCTCGGCCACACCACCCCAGGGCCACCGGAAGTGTCACATCATGAGCAACATGCTTTTGTTGTTTTTCAAAAACAGGAGCGGGAGGGCATTGGCACTCTTGTCACAGGACGCCCAGAGCCTTCGCAAGTGCCAACAGCAGGAACATCATGAGCATCATCGCCTTGTCGTTTCTCATCTGAGGCACCCCGAAGGCCAAAAGGAGGAGCATGTTAGGCATTGGGACCTCGGCCACACCACCCCAGGGCCACCGGAAGTGTCACATCATGAGCAACATGCATTTGTTGTTTCTCAAAAACAGGAGCGGGAGGGCATTGGCACTCTTGTCACAGGACTCCCAGAGCCTTCGCAAGTGCCAACAGCAGGAACATCATGAGCATCATCGCCTCGTCGTTTCTCATCTGAGGCACCCCTAAGGCCAAAAGGAGGAGCATGTTGGGCATTGGGACCTCGGCCACACCACCCCAGGGCCACCGGAAGTGTCACATCATGAGCAACATGCTTTTGTTGTTTTTCAAAAACAGGAGCGGGAGGGCATTGGCACTCTTGTCACAGCAACAGCAGGAACATCATGAGCATCATCGCCTTGTCGTTTCTCATCTGAGGCACCCCGAAGGCCAAAAGGAGGAGCATGTTGGGCATTGGGACCTCGGCCACACCACCCCAGTGCCACCGGAAGTGTCACATCGTGAGCAACATGCTTTTGGTGTTTTTCAAAAACAGGAGCGGGAGGGCATTGGCACTCTTGTCACAGGACGCCCAGAGCCTTCGCAAGTGCCAAACCCAACATCATGAGGCATCATGCCTGGCGTTTCTCATCGGAGGCACCCCGTGAAGGCCAAAAGGGAGGAGCATGTTGGCATTGGGACCGCGGCAAACCACCCAGGGGCCACCGGAAGTGTACATCATGGGCAAAAAGGCTTTTTGTGTTTTTTCAAAAACAGGAAGCGGGAGGGCATTGCACTCTTGTCACACAGGCCGCCCCAGAAGCCTTCGCAAGTGCAACAGCAGGACCATCATGAGATCATCGGGCCTTGTCGTTCTCATCTGAGGCACCCCGAAGGCCAAAAGGAGGAGCATGTTGGGCATTGGGACCTCGGCCACACCACCCCAGGGCCACCGGAATTGTCACATCATGAGCAACATGCTTTTGTTGTTTTTCAAAAACAGGAGCGGGAGCGCATTGGCACTCTTGTCACAGGACGCCCAGAGCCTTCGCAAGTGCCAACAGCAGGAACATCATGAGCATCATCGCCTTGTCGTTTCTCATCTGAGGCACCCCGAAGGCCAAAAGGAGGAGCATGTTGGGCATTGGGACCTCGGCCACACCGCCCCAGGGCAACCGGAAGTGTCACATTATGAGCAACATGCTTTTGTTGTTTTTCAAAGACAGGAGCGGGAGGGCATTGGCACTCTTGTCACAGGACGCCCAGAGCCTTCGCAAGTGCCAACAGCAGGAACATCATGAGCATCATCGCCTTGTCGTTTCTCATCTGAGGCACCCCGAAGGCCAAAAGGAGGAGCATGTTGGGCATTGGGACCTCGGCCACACCGCCCCAGGGCCACCGGAAGTGTCACATCATGAGCAACATGCTTTTGTTGTTTTTCAAAAACAGGAGCGGGAGGGCATTGGCACTCTTGTCACAGGACGCCCAGAGCCTTCGCAAGTGCCAACAGCAGGAACATCATGAGCATCATCGCCTTGTCGTTTCTCATCTGAGGCACCCCGAAGGCCAAAAGGAGGAGCATGTTGGGCATTGGGACCTCGGCCACACCGCCCCAGGGCAACCGGAAGTGTCACATTATGAGCAACATGCTTTTGTTGTTTTTCAAAGACAGGAGCGGGAGGGCATTGGCACTCCTGTCACAGGACGCCCAGAGCCTTCGCAAGTGCCAACAGCAGGAACATCATGAGCATCATCGCCTTGTCGTTTCTCATCTGAGGCACCCGAAGGCCAAAACCAGGAGCATGATGAAACACCACCCCCAGAGCCCCTGGAAGTAGAAGGAACATCTTGATTATCATGGCCGTGAGAGGCATCAAGACCCGAAGCCCTCAAGCCTTTAGAGTCCTGAACCCAAAACCCTAAACCCTAAACCCTAAACCCTAAACCCCAAACCCTAAACCCTAAACCCTAAACTAACCCTAAGAACGAGGATCGGCCCTTCCGATGTGTCACCGGCAACTGCCAACTCCCAGTTGCGCGGCGGCAACTTGGAACCCCAAAAACCCTAACCCCTAACCCCTAACCCCTAAACCCTAAACCTAAACCCTAAACCCTAAACCCTAAACCCTAAACCCTAAACCCTCCTTATGAGTGCGGGTTTGGGGTTTAGGGTTTAGGGTTTTGGTTCAAACTTGGAGCCTTAGTGCTGCTAAAGTCCCCAAAGCCTTGAAGCTTTATGCATTCACTCAATCTTCCGAGGGTCTGGAACACACTAAACCCCCTGCGCCCCCAATTAGACCCCCTAGGCCTAAACCCTCTTCAGCAACACTTGCGAACATGCGGCAAGGTTGTGACGACCACCATCGACCGGTCGAACCTGAACCAGGCTCCTCTCACCATTTTTGGTAGGGGTTGAAGTACGGGGCAGGTTGCAAAAACTTGGGTTTAGGTGGTTTGGGGTGTGGGGTTTAGGGTTTCGGGTCTCGGGATTGGGGCCCACGACAAGCCTTTTAAACCAGCTTTCCTGACAGGGCCCTAAACCCTAAACCCTAAACCCTAAACCCTAAACCCTAAACCCTAAACCCTAAACCCTAAACCCTAAACCCTAAACCCTAAACCCTAAACCCTAAACCCTAAACCCTAAACCCTAAACCCTAAACCCTAACCCCTAAACCCTAAACCCTCACCCCTAAACCCTAAACCCTAAACCCTAAACCCTAAACCCTAAACCCTAAACCCTAAACCCTAAACCCTAAACCCTAAACCCTAAACCCTAAACCCTAAACCCTAAACCCTAAACCCTAAACCCTAAACCCTAAACCCTAAACCTAAACCATAAACCCTAAACCCTAAACCCTAAACCCTAAACCCTAAACCCTAAACCCTAAACCCTAAACCCTAAACCCTAAACCCTAAACCCTAAACCCTAAACCTTAAACCTTAAACCCTAAACCCTAAACCCTAAACCCTAAACCGTAGAGGGGCTTTACAAGGAGGTCTTTAACATTCGGTGAGGCTTCTAGGCTTTAGGCTTCAGTGCCTTCCTTGCGGACTCCGAGCCCCACGGCTCCGAGGCCTTTTTGGGTTTTGGGTTTTGGGTTTAGAGTTTAGGGTTCGGGGTTTTGGGTTTAGGGTTTGGGGTTTAGGGCTTCGGGTTTTGGATTTAGAGTTTAGGGTTTGAGGTTTAGGATCTTGGGGACAGGGGTGAGGGTCTCTGGGATTAAGTTTTTAGGATTCAGTGCTTTAGCGTTTGAGAAGGGGCACTGGAATATCTGGGATTTGGCGGTTTGCAGGATCGAAACCTTGCCTTGCTTGTAGGGCTTTTTGGATAGAGTTCTTGGGCCTGGGATCTGTCTGCAACAGTCCCAAACCTACTTTTCGTAGTTTAGAAGACAGAACGCCCCTTCTCGAATGCTTAGGTCACCTAAAGACCATGGGTTAAGGGTTTCTTATGGGTACCCTAAACCCTAAACCCCAAACCCCAAACCCTAAACCCTAAGCCCTACACCCTAAACCCTAAACCCTAAACCCTAAACCCTAAACCCTAAACCCTAAACCCTAAACCCTAAACCCTAAACCCTAAACCCTAAACCCTAAACCCTAAGCCCTAAACCCTAAACCCTAAACCCAGAGCCGACGCCAGGATCCAAACTCCATAAACCAGAACTCCGTCAGCTTCGGCGATGGCCAAGCGCGGCTAGGGGAGGAGGCGCCACCCCGAACCCTAAACCCTAAACTCTAAACACTACACCCTAAACCCTAAACCCTAAACCCTAAACCCTAAACCCTAAACCCTAAACCCTAAACCCGAAAGCCTAAACCATGTAGCTGCTTTTCGTGGGTTTATGTGACGTAGGGTTTACTTCTATTTGCTTAAGAACCTCTCTCGCCCCCCTCCCCCAAAATCAAATAGACGTGTAGAATCATAATCAATAGATTAGATTGCCCTTATAAGGATTTTTTTTTTTGCGGGTGGTTCTGAAGCAAATAGTAGTTTACGTTTCTGGTGTCTTATTTTGCCCACTCTATCCATTGGCCTCGCGAGCCTTTGGACTCTTGTCAAGAGCGTAGAGCCGAACTACCCTAAACCCTAAACCCTAAACCCTAAACCCTAAACCCAAAACCCTAGGGTGTCTTTTTAGGGGGGCATCTGCAAGGGCGTGAAAGATTCAAGTCGAGGCTTGCTTTTCATCACGAGAACGCTCTGCTCGCCGACAGGGGCTCGATACTCAGCACCCTCCCCGCATGGTGCACCCCAAACCTCTTAAACCCTAAACCCTAAACCCTAAACCCTAAACCCTAAACCCTAAACCCTAAACCCTAAACCCTAAACCCTAAACCCTAAACCCTAAACCCTAGCCTAAACCCTAAACCCTGAACCCTGAACCCTGAACCCTGAACCCTGAACCCTGAACCCTAAACCCTAAACCCTAAACCCTAAACCCTAAACCCTAAACCCAAAGATGCATCCTTCCGCCCTGCGCGCCTTCGCGTCCTCTGTGGCCCAGCGGCTCGCATGTCTGGAGCGGCCGACGAAGCCGCAGGTGCAAGCGGCGCTTGGCCCCTTCGGAGAGAAAGTAGCTTTTTGATCTTTTCGCGAAACTCTAAACCCTAAACCCTAAACCCTCTTCCCTAAACCCTAAACCCTAAACCCTAAACCCTAAACCCTAAACCCTAAACCCTAAACCCCAAATCCCTAAAACCCTAAAACCCTAAACCCTAAGCTGTTTTGGCTAGCAGAATAGCGATGTTCCCTCGCCCATAGGCAGGCCAAAAGATCGCCCCGCCCTGGGAACTGAGCAAGTAAGGCAGCCTGGACAACCCGCAAGCAAGCCTCCAAGTTTCTTGGGGACGAATTTTAGGGCTTCTTCGCGAATTTGTATGCCCTAGACCCTAAACCCTAAACCCTAAACCCTAAACCCTAAACCCTAAACCCTAACGGGGGAATTATCGAGGTTCTCCGGGATCTGAAGAAGGCGAAGAGGCCGGATCTGGCTTGCCTGGTTCTGGAGACTTGGTGCTGGGTATGTACGGTTTAGGGCTATAGGGTTTTTGGCTTTGTAGGGTTTTACAAGATTCTTAAGGTTCATGGTCGATGGGGCCGTAGGGTTTATAGGGTTTATAGTTAGGGTTTAACTTTGCTCCCCTGAAGGGTCGGAATACTTGGGCCGTAAAGTACTTGCTACATCGGGACTTTGGGGGCCAAGTAACCCTAAACCCTAAACCCTAAACCCTAAACCCTAAACCCTAAACCCTAAACCCTAAACCCTTAGGGCTGGTTATCGCAGCTCGTAAGGAGATCCTCCAGTCCGAGGGGACGCCAAGCACGAAGCACCTGAACCTCGCAATCAGCGCCTGCGCCTCTGCAAAGTGCGCCACTTTGGGCGGGGTTTAGGGTTTAGGGTTTAGGGTTTAGGGTTTAGGGTTTAAGGATTCTCCGAAAATTGGGAGCATGGACCCCACACTATGCAAGGTGGCACTCCCCCCACTACTCTTCATTACTTTCTAACCCCCCGCGAGATTTTCTCCCCAATAGGTGGTGGGCCCAAGCGCTGTCCCTGCTCTTCGTGTCCGCGCCCCGCCTGGGCCTGGCCCCGAACGTCGTCACGCTCAGCGCGGCCCTAAGCGCCTGCGAGCGGAGCAGCCGCTGGCCGCGGGCGCTCCAGCTCTTCCACGCCCAGCGCGCCCTGAAAGTGAGCCCGGATGTGGTGGTCTACAACTCCGCGATCAGCGCCTGCGAGAGAGGGGGCCAGTGGCAGAAGGCCCTGATGCTCTTTGAGGAGATGCCCAGCGCAGGCGTGCGCCGAGACACCATCACCTACAACGCCACCCTCAGCTCCCTCCAGAGCCTCGGGGAGCAGAGGAACCCTAAACCCTAAACCCTAAACCCTAAACCCTAAACCTTAAACCCTAAACCCTAAACCCTAAACCCTAAACCCTAAACCCTAAACCCTAAACCCTAAACCCTAAACCCTACACGCTAAATAATACTAGAATCCCAGTTGGGGCATATGGACCATGAGCCCTTTTGGGGTTCATGGAGTGCTTGATTAGGAAAGCTGGGCAGTCCGAGCGTGCCGTGGACCTCTTCAACTCCATGCCCCAGGCTACAATCTCTCCTGACCTCATCAGCTACAACACGACCATCAGCGCGTGTGAGACTGGGATGCCCTCGAGGAACGATGTGGGGTTTTACGAGATTTTTGGGGTACATTCTTGGGGGTCCATTTTATATAGGAATCCTACTATATGGGGGCTTTGGGGTCCCTTATTTTCGTAAACCCCCATGTGTTTTTCTGTTGTTTAGGGGTTCGGTCCTTGACAACCCCCCCAGTCGACCAAGCAAAATGGCGCCCTGCTATCGTTAGGTTGCTGCGCCCTCAACCCTCAACCCTCAACCCTCAACCCTCAACCCTCAACCCCTCAACCCTCAACCCTCAACCCTCAACCCTCAACCCTAAACCCTAAACCCTAAACCCCGTTTCAGGTTTTACTGGGCAACCGAGGAGAAGGGTGGGCAGTGGCAGGAGGGCCTTCGGCTTCTGCAGGGCATCGGCCGACTTGGGGGGCGCCCAGATGCTAGGATTTGCTTGAGGAAGCCTGGAAAGGAACCCACAACCAATTCTTGTTGCAAGTACCTTTAAACCCTAAACCCTAAGCTCTTAAGCCCTAAGCCCAAAGCCCTAAGCCCTAAGCACTGAGCCCTAAGCCCTAAGCCCTAAACCCTAAACCCCAAACCCTAAACCCACACCTAAACCCTGCCCTACTTTGTTCTATTTTCAGGGTTCCTCCAGCCGATCCCAGGATGTGGTGAGCTACAGTGCCGCCATCAGCTGCTGCGAGAAGGCCATTAGGGTTCAGGGTTTTACGTAGGGTTTAGGGTTTAGGGTTTAGGGTTGAGGGTTTTAAGACAAGGCCGCTCGCTGGATCTTGGCTCTGGAGCTGCTCAACTCCATGCCCAAGGAGGGGGCACCTGGGCTGTTTCTTTTGGAGGGAGCCCTCATTTTTGTTGGTGTTTGGGGTTCCTTATGGAAGGAGCCTTCATTTTTCTTTGGTTTTTAGGGTTGTTTAATTAGCTGGCTGTCTTGGCTGGCTGTCTTTTTCAAGGCAGCGAATGAAGTTTAAGCAGCCAAGGTGCCCCCCAACAGCATCAGCTACAACGCGGCCATCAGTGCCTGTGAGAAGCTTGGTGGGCCTTCCTAGGATATTCTGGACTTCGCTCTTCCTGGTTTAGGGTTTAGGGTTTAGGGTTTAGGGTTTAGGGTTCAGGGTTTAGGGTTTAGGGTTTAGGGTTTAGGGAGTTAAGACCTTGTTCAGGAATCTATTGTCAGAGGCCTTAAGCTGGCTATCTTAGGAAAGGGGGATCATGGAAGATGGCGCTGCAGCTTCTCGACCAAATGCCCCAAGCACGGCTGTCGCCCACGGTGGTCAGCTATGGGGCGGCCCTCAGCTCATGCGAGAAGAGCTCCTTATGGCAGCTGGTCCCCGATTACGTTGTTTTTTTGTTTGTTTTTGATCTAATTTGGGAACCCTAAACCCTAAACCCTAAACCCAAAACCCTAAACCCTAAACCCTAAACCCTAAACCCTAAACCCTAAACCCTAAACCCTAAACCCTAAACCCTAAACCCTAACCCTAAACCTAAACCCTGAAGCGCGGGCTTAAGAGAAAGTCCCGACCTAGGCAGATGGCCCTGGAGATTTTCAGGTCCATGTCCGAAGCTGGTGTCGCCCCCAACACGGTAAGCTATAGGGTGGCGCTCTCCTCCTTCCAGAAGGCCAGACTCAGGGTTTACGTGAGGTTACATAGGGTTTACAGGGTTTATGTGGTTTAAAGCTATAGGGTTAGTAGGGTTGAAAGGGTTCAGGGCTTACAAGGTTTATATGGTTGATTCCGTACATCACGGTCCCTTTTGGTGGCGTTCCTGCCGGTTTCCATCTTGACTCGTAGCCTGAGTGTGAGGGTGCTTTGTACCCCAAACGGGACCCTACTGTAGATAGAGCCTAAACCCCCAGGGGTTTAGGGTTTAGGGTTTAGGGTTTAGGGTTTAGGGTATTAGGGTTTAGGGTTTAGGGCAAACCCCACAGCCTTACTTGCATGGAAGGCAGGGCAGTGGCAGCTCTGCCTGCAGCTGCTGCAGGCTCTGCCGCCGCCTTCCGAGCAAGCAGCACCCGACCTCTATGCCTACAGCCTGTCCATGAGCTGCTGCATCTGTGGCGCTGTTGGAAGCGGCTTCTTTTTGTTTGAAGCGTCCCTGAAACCTTAGAACCTCAAAGCCTTAGGACCCTGTAACCCTGTAACCCAAAAGGCCCAACAGGCCCAAGAAGCCCTGGCCCTGAAAAACAGGGCGGCCTCCCCGAGCCGGAGTGTTTAGGGTTTAGGGTCCTCGGGCCATTCTAGAGTTATTTAGAGTGTAGGGCTTAGGGGTTTAGGCGTTTAGGGTTTAGGGTTTAGGGTTTGGGGTTTAGGGTTCAGGGTGCCGCGACTGTGAGGTGAGAGGGCACATCAGTGGCGGGCCTCCATCCACGTCTGGGAGTCCCTGTTGCAGGCAAAGGTGACTCCGGATACGGTCCCTGTGCTCCGTTGCGGGGTTTGGGGTTTAGGGTTTGGGGTTTGGGGTTTAGGGTTTAGGGTTTGGGGTTTGGGGTGTAGGGTTTAGGGTTTAGGGGGTTTCAGGTTTGGGGCCGCTGGTTTAGGGGTCTTCGGGTTTAGGATCGGTAGTGTTTTGTTCGTGGCACGCATCATGTGGCGCGACTTACGAACAGCACTGCTCTTAGGCAGTACAACATTCAGGAATCAAGGCTGGCAACTGTAAACCCTAAACGCTAAACCCTAAACAATAAACCCTAAACCCTAAACCCTAAACCCTAAACCCTAGACCCTAGACCCTAAACCCTAAATCCTAAACCCCAAACCCTAAACTCTAAACCCTAAACTCTAAACCCTAAACCCTAATGTTGCCTTAGCGAGCAGGCGGCCAGGGATGTTCGGGCGGCAACTGTACCGGAATGGCCAGGGAGGCTCAGGTGACTCAGGTGGGCATTTCAGGCAGCAGCAGCTGTCCCGGAACGTAGCTTGAACCAGCAAGCCAGAGAGCTCCAAGCGGGGCAGCTGTACAAAAACATGTTGCCTTAACAAGCAGGCCATGGAGTCTCAGGCGGGCACCTGTACCGAAACGTTGCTGAGAAGGCGGGCAACTGTACCGAAATTTTGGTGAAAACAAGCAGGCCAGGGACGGCACCGGAATGTAAATCCGTGCAGCTGGGTTTTAGGGTCTCAATTGGGGGTTTCGCGAATATTGGGGTAGATTGGGGTGCCTTCTTTTGGGCTTTTGTAAGAAATTTAAGGATGTCGGGGACCCCCTAGTACCCATGTCTCCCAAAAGAGCAGCCCAGGTTTGCCTCAATGCGTGCATCACCTCCTGCGCCTCGGGCGTTCATCGCAAAGGAGTGTGGTTTTTTTGGTACAGCCTGAACCTTACACCCAAAACCTGCAGAGCCCCAAAAAAGCATTGCAGGGTAACGCACTCTGTGAAACCTACGTGTGCGCCATTCGGGATCTCCAACCTCTCAACTCCAATCCGCCTGAACAGTAGTACACACAGCGAGCTAAGGGGCCAACCTAGAACAAAAACCCTAAACCCTAATCCCTAGACCCTAGACCCTAAACCCTAAACCCTGAGCCCTAAGCCCTAAGCCCTAAGCCCTGAGCCCTGAGCCCTGAGCCCTGAGCCCTAAGCCCTAAGCCCCAAACCCGAACCAAAACCCTAGGCGTCCGAGGGCTTCTGTGGCAGAGGGCCTGCCACCTCCTTCAGTCCATGCCCGAAGCAAAGGTGCGCGAGGGAGAGGGAGAGGGGTCCGAGGGTGTCGGGGTTGACGAAGGGTAGGTTTGCCCTAAACCCTAAACCCTATATAAACCCTAAACCCTAAACCCTGGACCCTAAACCCTAAACCCTAAACCCTAAACCCTAAACCCTAAACCCTAAACCCTAAACCCCAAACCCTAAACCCTAAACCCTACACCCTAAACCCTAAACCCTAAACCCTAAACCCTAGTCCGCATTTTCCGATTGTAAATAAGTCCACAGGTTGCCATCGACGTGGTCAGCTACAATGCGGCCATGACCGCTTGCGCCAAGGGAGACTTGCTGGGCAGTGGTTTTGCTTGGTGTTGAGGGTTCAGGGGTTCCTAAACCCTACACCCTACACCCTAAACCCTAAACCCTAAACCCTAAACCCTAAACCCTAAACCCTAAACCCTAAACCCTAAACCCTAAACCCTAAACCCTAAACCCTAAACCCTGAAGTTCAACCCTGAAGCCCTCAAAGCCCCAAACCTTAGCGCTTGCAAGCCCTTGTAGAGCATGCAAACCCCATATTGAACATCATCATCACACGTCAAGCCTTATAAGAAAGCTGAAAAGCCAAAAAGCCACCCTTCAAAACCCTAAACCCGAAACCCCAAACCCTAAACCCTAAACCCTAAGTCTTAAACCCTAAACCCTAAGCCCTAAGTCCTAAACCCTAAACCCTAAACCCTAAACCCCAAACCCCAAACCCTAAACCAAGCCACAACCGAGGCAAGCGCTGGCAGCTTGCCTTGAACCTCTACGCAGCCATGCCGCTGGCAGCCATGGCTCCCGACGCCGTAAGCTGCAACGTGCTCTTGGAGTCTCGGCCCAAGTTGGGCGTGAGGGTTTAGGGTTTAGGGTTTAGGGTTTAGGGTTTAGGGTTTAGGAGGATCCAAAAGTATTCAACATACCCCTTGGGCATACCCTTACAAGAAATTAAGGGGTATGGTAATATCCTCCCTTAGACTTCCTTATAATTTCCTTGTATAGGTTAAGGGGTATGTGGTATGGGTTTGGGGTGTGGTGAATCATTTTTAGAAGGTTGGGTGTGGGGATAGGGCTTACCCAGACCCCTGGGAGGATCAACAAAAATAGAGCCCCCAAGTAGTACCCTATACTACTATTGGGTCATTTTAGGCACCTTTAAGGGGATCTACTTTGGGATCCTTCCAGGGGTCTGGGTATAGGGTTTGTGTACGAAACCGTAGTGCCATCTTGGTGTTGGGTGTTGAAGAGGCACTTAGGGATCCAGAACCCACCAAGATCAGCAGGCAGCATCATAGTCCTTCGCCCCCCGCCCCACCCCCCCCCCCCCCCCCCCCCCCCCCCCCCAAAAAAAAAAAAACAAAAACCCCAAACCCCAAACCCCAAACCCCAAACCCCAAACCCCAAACCCCAAACACCAAACCACCCAAATTCCCAAAAACCCAAAAAACCCCAAAAGCCCCAAAAACCCCAGCCAAGGACTGCGTGAGCGACCAGCGTGTGCGGCAGGCCCTCGCCAAGGACCTGATGACGGTGCTCAGGAAGGTGAAGGTCTGAGCCATCCAGGGTTTAGGGTTTCGGGTTTAGGGATTCGGGTTTAGGGTTTAGGGTTTAGGGTTTAAGGTTTAGGGTTTACAGGGTTTAGGGTTTAGGGTTTCGGCTTTACGGTTTAGGGTTTCGGCTTTCGGGTTTTTGTGTTCAACGTGAGCCCTATAGTTAACTATACCTGACAAGTTACTGATTTGTCGGGCTTCTTGCGGGCTTCTTAGGGTCGCTCGGGTGTTTTGAGGGGTTTCAGGGTTCAGGGGTCGCCGAACCCTGTGCCCTGAGCCTCCAACCCTCAGCCATTCTTGACTCCAAGCAGTTAGGGCACGACTCTGCAGACCTTCAGCAGGTTGAAAAGCGACGCGGGCGGTGCAGTGAGTCCCTATACCCTGAGCTTTCAACTGAAACTCAAACTCCACACTTCTGTCTTAGCTTACCCCCTAAACCCTAAACCCTAAACCCTAAACCCTCAACCCTCAACCCTCAACCCTCAACCCTCAACCCTCAACCCTCAACCCTCAACCCTCAACCCTCAACCCGCAACCCTCAACCCTCAACCCTCAACCCTCAACCCTCAACCCTCAACCCTCAACCCTCAACCCTCAACCCTCAACCCTCAACCCTAAACCCTAAACCCTAAACCCTAAACCCTAAACCCAACCCTTGAGCTACTTGGAATGAGTAGGTCGCCTTTAGCCTCTTCGGGCACTATAGCCCCAAAGCCTCAAACCCTAAACCAGGAGTAGGCTCAGGGTTTACGGTTTAGGGCCTAGGGTTTAGGGTTAGGGTCTAGTGTTTAGGGTACCTCAGCTATTCTGGGTACCGCAAGCCCTAAGCCCCTGAGGCCCTAAAGCACCTAAAGCCCGGAAGAGTTCAAGAAACCCACCAACGCGACACTTTCTCCTTGGGAAACTCAGGCAGCATGGTCCTCATCGGACTTTGCAGCTCCCTTAAACCTGAATCCCTGAACCTTGCATCCTAAACTTGTAGGGGGTTCAGGGGTTTAGGGTTCAGGGCTTCAGGGGAGAGCGAGTCGTGGGCATTTCATGGCTTCAGGGTTTGGCAGACCTCTCAAGCACCTGAGCACACTGACCTCCTGCAGTTCCTAAGCCCGAAACCCTGTATTTTCAACCCTAAATCCCAAACCCTAAAGCACCCTAAACCCTGAACCCTAAAACCCCATACTCTAAACCCTTGAAGTTCCTAACTTTCCAGGTGGTCTCCTCCAATGAGGCCGGGTAATGTGCCACGTGCGGCCCTGTCCTTACTGGTTCTTTGTAGTGTATTGGGGAACTAGGGCCTTAAACGTTTAAGACGGGAATCTAACTAGGGACTGAGGGTCTTGAAGGATCGCATAAGGCGTAAGGGGGTTTCGTTCGGGATTCAGGGTTCTGTAGCTAATCAGGTGCCTAAGCCAACCCCTAACCCCTAAACCCTAAACCCTAAACCCTAAACACTAAACCCCTAAGAACTTAGGGGAAGCCTTGAGGTGTTGTGTGTGTCGACCACGAAGTTCACGGATACTTGCAGCGTCCTGGTACGTTGTCTAGGGTTTAGGGTATGGTGTTTGGGGTTTAGGGTTTAGGGCTTTTACAGTTTGTTTTTTTTGGGTGTTTAGGGCTTAGGGCTTAACGCCTAACCCAGGGATATCTGTAGCTAGAACCTCATCACAAGCAAGTCCCAACACATGGCTCTATTTTGTAAGGGCTCTCTAACTTATGGACTTTCCTTGGTACTGTGTGGCCTGTATCATGAACATCCACGTGGCATTTCGACCCAAGTTTCGCAAGGTCAGCAAGCTTAGAAGCGGGACCTCTTCGCAAGCCCTAAGCCCTGAACCCAAATAGCTCTTTTTTTCTGGCTCAAGCTCCCCCCCCCCTCCCCCCCCCCTCCCCCCCCCCTCCCCCCCCCCATTCCATACTCTGAATATCACCCCTTTCACCCCACGGAGCCATAAACCCTGAACCCTACACCCTAAACCCTCAACCCTACACCCTAAACCCTCCCCCCCCTCCGAAAAAAAGAAACAAATAAAAGTAAATAAGTACATACAACATACATATATATATATATATACACATATCTATAATACTGTAATAGTATAATAATAGTAGTAATAATAATACCCTCGGAGAAGCCGGGCGCAGGATTCGTTCAGAATCCCGAACACAGCGGCGCCGCCCTCGCCCCCGACCAGCCCACCGACCTTCGAGCCCGAGGTTGGTGGTTTGGGGTTTAGGGTTTAGGGTTTAGGGTTTAGGGTTTAGGGGACCTTTGAGCCCGAGGTGGGTGTGGAGGGAAGGGTTTGGGGGGCTTGGGCAGGTTTGGGGTTTGGTGTTTGGTGTTTGGTGTTTGGGGTTTGGGGTTTGGGGTTTGGGGTTTAGGGTTTAGGGTTTAGGGTTTAGGTAGGGTTTAGGGTTTAGGGTTTAGGGTTTAGGGTTTAGGGTTTAGGGTTTAGGGTTTAGGGTTTAGGGTTTAGGGTTTAGGGTTTAGGGTTTCAGGGGTTCAGGGTGCGCTCGTCCCTTGCGTTGCCGGCTTATCCCCCTGGGCTGATGTGGCGGTACAGAGTTCAGCTCGAAAACTAGGAACCAGGAAGGGGTTTGGGGTTTAGGGGTTGGGAGTTTTGAGCTCACTGATTTGGGGATTTAGGGCTTAGGGTTGCAGGTGGGTGGAGGCTATACAGGGTAGGGGTGGTGGTTTAGTGTGTTTTCGTTGTGTTTTCAGCTCAAAGGCTTGGTTTCGGGTTTCAGGCTTCCTTTTTAAACCCTGGACCCTGAACCCTGGACCGTAACCAGTGGGTGTTTCGGCTTCCGTGGTCATGCTTCAGCTGTTGGACGACTTCGCAACATGCGATCGAAGAGTTGCAAAACGATTGTCAAGGACCCTTTTTTGGGTAGCAAGAATTATAACCACACTTTAAAGAACGCGTTCCCACACCATCAAAGTCAAGTCATCATCGTGTCTTCCTTTTGGCCTCACCTTCAACCCTATACCATACAGATTCTGAACCCTTACTTTCATCAAAACTTACAAGCCCAAAACCCTAAACCGTAGCAACCCTTTTGCACCCTAAAGTTCGCAAAACGTTTAGGAGTGTGGGTCCAGTGTGGTTTGTAGAGGTTCAGAGGTTGGGCCAGGAGGCATCGCGAGCTATCTCGGTTCGAGAGTTTAGGGCTTAGGGTCTAGGATTTCGTGTTCAGGGTTTAGGGTTTAGGATTTCGTGTTTATAGGGTTTAGGGCTTAAGGCCAGGATCTCGGGCGTTGCTAAATCAAGGGGCCCTGCCAGTCATGAGCCTCCAAGTATGTGGAAAAGGGTTTAGGGGCTTCAGGGCTTAGGGTTTAGGGTTTAGGGTTTGGGGGTTAGGGTTTAGGGTTTAGGGTTTAGGGTATATGGAAGTCTTTGACCCAAGCCTTGAGCTCTAAGCTAGAAGTTCGAACTTAGGGTTTAGGGTATATCCCAAGTCCCATATCACACCCATGTCTAAGCCCCCCCAAGCCCCGTAAACCCTCCAAAGAAAACCCCCAAAATCCCTAAACCCTAAACCCTAACCTAAACCCTAAACCCTCAATCTTAAAACCAAAATTTTGTTGGAGGTGGGTGAGGTGGACCCCCGGATCTTTGCCACTGCCGAGCCCACCACCTCTTGGCGTCCTCAGGGGCCCTTTGCAGGCGGGGTGCGATGGTCAGCTTAACCCTAAACCCGAAACCCGAAACCCGAAACCCCAAACCCTAACCCTAAACACTAAAACCCTAAACCCTAAAACCTAAACCCTAAACCCTAAACCCTAAACCCTAAACCCTAAACCCTAAACCCTAAACCCTGCCTTTGGGAGTTTCAGGGTCCAGGGTTTGAGAGGATGCTTTGTTTGGAGGATAAGGGCTCAGGTTTTCAAAAGTGTATATACGTATATATATATATATGTATGTTATTATGTAGGATGAGATATATACATATATAATGTAGGATGAGATATATACATAATATATATATATATAGATATCTGTCGGAGGCGTAAGGTCTGGGACAGATAAATGCATGGCTCAGGGTTTTGGGGTTTGGAGATTCGACATAGTGTTTCGCAATACAGGGTTGCAGACTTGAGCCTGGGGCCCTGCACCCTAAACCCTACTACACCCCAAACCCTCAACCCTACACCCGAAACCCTAAACCCTAAACCCTATACCCTAATTAAACTAAACCCTAAACCCTCCAAAGGAATGGGTTGGGGGTGGAGTTGCCCTTTGAAACAGCGCGTTCCAACTGGGCCATAGCTGCTCTTGTAGATTCTTTCGGAGCTAGTCTGCATCCAAGCCTTCACAGCTTCTGCGCCATATCACAGCAAACCCTAAACCCTAGACCCTAAACCCTAAACCCCAAACCCTAAACGCTAAACCCTAAACCCTAAACCCTAAATTCCCACCCTGGCCTGCTTAGGCCGTACCCACCCTTTTCTAGCCCCAGCTTCTGGCCCTTCCTGTGCTCTCCCTTACCTGACCCCCCGCCCCGCTACCTTCACCACACCTTTGTAGGGAAAGCAATGGTGGGAATTGAGGGCGACAGCCCTAAAAGGCAGTGGTTTGGGTGGTGGCCTGTGAAAGCTCACAGCGGGCGGGAGAAAGAACCTAGCACCAATGAAATTGTTGGATGACATTGACAACAGATGCCTTCGCGTGACATGCCGCCCCCCCACACCCCCTGGGTGTGTCGGGGCGCCATTAACACATGGCACCTACTGCCGGTGCGCAGCAAGACGCCCTAAACCCTAAACCCTCAGCCCTAAACCCTAAACCCTAAACCTTATACCCTAAACCCTAAACCCTAAAACCTATACCCTAACACCCTAAACCCTAAATCCGAAACCCTATCGAGCCTAAACCCCAAACCCTAAACCCTGAACCCTTCTGTTACCTTCGGGTGTGGGCTTTCGCTTCCTTGTCGGCCGTGGATCAGCCCTACTTGAAGGTCTGTAGGGATAGGGTTTAGGGCTTAGGGTTTAGGGTTTAGTGCTTAGAATTTTTTAGTCTAGGTTTTAGGGTTATGTTCATGGGTGCTTCAGAAGTGAAGTTTTTAAGTACCCGATATTGTTACCCCACCTAGAACCCTACTGAAAAGCACCCAAGCTCTCTGTCCAGTCATGCCCTACCCAGAAGTCCACGCACCTGAACATCAAACACCCCTCCCTCCTCAGAGGCCTCGACACGCCGCCACCCTTGTTTAGGGTTTAGGGGTTTAGGGGTTTAGGGGTTTAGGGTTTAGGGTTTAGGGTTTAGGGTTTAGGGTTTAGGGTTTAGGGTTTAGGGTTTAGGGTTTAGGGTTTAGGGTTTAGGGTTTAGGGTTTAGGGCCTTCCGCGTTCCGGGTCTTTGCGTCAGCCAGCAGGCCTGTGGGCCAGCGTTGGTGCGCACCGGCATGTTTCTGCGTTTACAGCTTCTATGACGCGGCTTCCATGAAGAAAGCCCGTCACCCTAAACCCACGCCCACACTAATTGCAAATCGCCCCTACCTTATGAAGCCAGAAAGGCGTGTTTTCAAGCCAAACCCTTCTAAGATTAGGGTTCTTGAGGTAAGCTCTCTGGAGAATTCCAAACCGTGAGCTTAATGCTAAGCTTAAGACCCTACACCCACATGCAAGCACACCTTCAGCATCCGCAGAAGTTGTGGCCCTCATACCAAGCTTCCAGGCCTCCTCGGCAACTGACAGCACTGATACCATGTGTTCAACCAAGCTGAACCAAGTCCATTGGGGTGCGTTGCTGTGCCAAGCTATGCTTTCAGGGCTGAGGGCCATGGGAATCCGAGCGTTTGGGCCTTAGGGTGAAACACAGAACCCTAAACCCTAATCCCCCTAACCCCAAAACCACCGATAGAACGCCCAAAGCGGTTTAGGATTCAGGCTCTACTGGGGGCCAAGCGATTCAGGGGTCTGGCTTCTTCGGGGGGGGGGGGGGGGGTGGGGTGTAGGGGTGTAAGAGCTCCCAGTTCTCTGACTCTGGGCCTGGAGTCTTGGGTTAGGAGTTTTGCTCCCAGGCTAACCCGCAGGCCCACTTTTCAAGCACGACTCCGACGAAGCACGGCATGTAAAGCAAAGCCCTCACCCTCGACGTTTGGACGCCAGCAAGAATCCTAGAACCTAGGGCCTACTTGGAGGTTCATGGATGCTTTTCAGTAGGGTAGGGTTATCAGCACCCTACATGAGGTTATAGTCACAGTTACCCTACTTATCACCTTACTTATGAGTACCC